GGGGGGATATGTGGACACGGGGCTCAGCCTAGAGCCAGGATTCTCAGCCTGAGACCTCCCCCAATCGCTCATCCATCCAGGCGGGACCCAGAGGAACCCCCGGGCTAGAGCGCCCCAGCTCCTGAGGTGACCGGGGGCTGGCAGCGTGGCAAGGCGGCAGTGTAGTAGCGTGAGTTCAGGGCCCCGCCGGGCCGGCTGCTGCCCAAACACGCAGTGAGAGACAGTCCCTGCCCCGGATCTCACAGCCTGATGTACGAGACAGACACAGGAAGGACCGTTCTCCTCCGGTTTGCAGATGTCTGGGAAATGAGGCCCAAGGTCCCACAGAGCTGTGCACTGAACCCAACGAGTCCCAGCCCTGGGCTCTAACCACCAGACCCGCCTGGCACGTGACTTCATCAAACCAGCCGCTCCCGAGCTCCGTGAGCCCAGCTGAGCGGGAGGAGGAGTCCGCCGGAGGCCTGGGTGGGAGATCTGGATACAAAGGGACCCTGGGTTCCCAGCCCTTGGGACGGACTCACCTGCTGGGGTTGTAGGCCTCGGAGGCATAGTAGCCGTTCTCCTTGCGCGGGTAGCCGTAGGCGCTGGCCGGGGCGTTGACGGGGCTGATTGGCTTCTCGGAGTAGGCCAGCGTGGCTGTCTCATCCTGAATGCTGGCGCCCTCGGCAACGTTCTTCACCTGAAAAGCAGCCAGAGGCGTTCGGCTCCCTCTGCGCCCACGTGCGGCCCGGGGTGTGCGGGGGGCTGGGCGCGATGCTGGGGTCACGCTCTGCCCTTAGCTCCACCTTAGCGAGAGCCAGGGCCAGTCGTGACCTTGGTCTCAACTTCAGGCTTGGTGACGGCCTCGGGGGAGTCCGCAGGGTGCACACAGCGGGTCCCAAACGGCAGCCCATAGGCAGAGCTCGGGGCTGGTGTGGGGAGGCTCAGGGCTGGGATAACGGGGCTGGGGGTCGGGATTCAGGGACACTGGCAGAGCTCAGGGAGGAGGGGGGAGCTCAGGGCTGGGATAACAGGGGCTGGGGGTCCACACTATGCGAGGAGCTCTGAAAGCGCCATGAGGGGGACACCGTCACACACCAAACCAAGGGCGGCTAATGCAGCCCAACCCCCGTCCGCTCTGCAGGGCCCCACGGAGCTGGGATCGGGATTGGGAGCACAAGGAACCACCGCCCAGGTCCTGGCTCTCTGCCTCCCGTGTGTGCAGCCCCAACCCCCTTATCACAGTGCGACTGGCCGATAAGCTAAATCGGCCCTTGGCAAACAACTCCCCTGCCATTTAACCAGCCTCCGCCCCACAGGCTGGGTGAGAGGCGGCTGGCACCACCAGGCCCCACGATTCCCCAACCTGCCAGCCCAGCAGCAGAGGCCAGGGGGATGGGTGGGGGTGGGTGTATAAGTCCCAGGCACAGAGGAATGGGGTTAAATTGTGTGGCCTACCCCCCATTCCATGGCCTAGCTGACCTGGCATGCTATGCCCCCAACCGCAGGAGCCAGCCCCCACAACCTGCAGTGGAGAACAAAGCAGTGCGGCTGCTGGGTGACCCCCCCCCCCCAGCTGTTAGAGGTCTGAGAGCTGCAGGAGCGGAGCGAAGGAGGTACGAGGCTCCCCGGGAAGGGCAGTGGCAGCGCTCAGTGCCAGGGAACAGGTGGTTTGGGTGGGAATTTCCCCTCCCGAACTCCCCTGTGCCATCGGCCACGGGGCCAGTTCCCTTTCGCAGGGGTGTTTGCTCACAGGGACTCAGCCCCTGCGGAGCAGCTAACCCTTCCCTCCCCAGATATCCCTGGGCCTGACAAAGGGAGGATGTGCCGGTCTGGGCAGCGCCGCCCTGACCTGGGTCCCTACAGAGCCGGTGCAGGAGACGCTTCCACCAGAACTCAGGAAATGCCTCCCAGGAGTGACCTGCACAGTAAATAAACTGAGCTGGGAGGAACGTGGAAACGCCCGGGCTGGGAAACTGGTCACGTCCAGGGCGCTTTGCTTCTTTCAGGCTTTGCTCTTGTGCTCATGGCGGGCCACAGGGCCAGATTCTGCCCATCTGTCTTACGTATATCTGGACCCCCAGCGCTGTAGGATGTGAGCATCTCCCAATCGCTAACGATTGATTTATCCTCACCCCCACCCTCCGGGAGTTAGGGAAATGCAGTTACGCCCATTGTACAGATACCACCTACCGCTTACATAGCACTTTTCATCGGCTGATCTCCAAGGCTTTACAGAGGCGGGCAGGACCACTATCCCCATTATGCAGGTGGTGAAACTGAGGCACAGAGATGGGAAGTGACACACTACAGGTTACCCAGCAACCCGGTGGCAAGACCAAGAAGAGAACCCAGCACTGGTGGGTCGCAGTCTGGCACTGCACCCACTAGGCAATGCTGTCCCCTCTCTAGATAGGAGCCTGCGGCTCAGAGAGATTAAGTGACTCACCCAAGGTCACACAGGAAGACTGTGGCAGAGCAGAGAATTGAATCCTCATCTACAGACCCATGCCAGTGCCCTAACCACTAGCCTTCCACTGTATTCACACAACCTTCCTCATGCTGGACACAATGTCTCACACAGTCAGCGGGTTCATTGGCCTCAATTTTGCAGTAGGACACTACTTAGCGGGAAGTTACAAAAACAAAGTATCAAAAGCTGGCTCTAAACAGGGGAGCCATAGCTTTAGAAGTTGTGACCTCGCTATAGTCTCCCAGCCCAGCCCCCCACGTACATCCTCCTCCGCCTCCACCAGGCATCTGCTAACGAGGGCATCCCAACAGAACAGATGTCTAAATAATCATTAAATAGCTAATGGGAATAACATATGAATGGGAATAACATTTACCGGGGGAGCGGGAGGAGATGGTAAAATAACATTAGAATGAGTTCATCAGGGTCTCGAAAGAAAGAAAGAAAGAAAGAAAGAAAGCCCCACTTGTATCATGTGGAGAAGATGATGAGAGATTGTTACAGTGTTGCCAACTTTCTCAACACCTCAGGTTTCTCCAAAAGCTCCAGCTCCTGGAATCAGGGGATTAGGAGAGAATCTCTTTTTTTTTAAGTCATTTTTTAAACTTCATGCGTTTGGAGGAAAGGTTGAGCCCACACCCCGCGTGCCCCCCAGCAGCTCACTAACCAGAAGGCAAACCAAAAGCAGCCAAAATTATTATTTAAAAAAAATCTCATAGTTTTTAAACCAATCGTGTGATTTTTCTGGGAGGCCGGATGGAGCTTGAGGCTGGTGATCAGAGAGATCGATAGATATGAGAGAGACAAGAGGGGCGAGGCGATATCTTTTATGGGATCAACTCCTGCTGGTGGAAGAGACACGCTTTCGAGAGCTCTTCTTCAGGGCAGGAAAAGGTACCCGGAGTGTCGCTGCGAACTACAAGGTGGGACAGATTGCTAAACCCAAGGGATTGACACACGTAGCTAGACCAATCAAATGCAACAGGTTTCACAAACGGTATGCCTGATTCTCCCCAGTCCTTGGCTAGTTGCCCCGCTGCTCCAGTCAGAGCTTTTCCAAATGCCTCAGGTTTGCCCCTGCTTGCAATTAATTCTCTGGATAGCTGATGCACTCGTTAACCCCTTCCTTCCTCTCCTCACCTCCACCCAGCCACCCGTGGGAGCTGTCTTTGCTCCACGTTGCCGTGCAAGCCGCTCCCTCCCCTGCCCACCGGAGCATGAACGCCTGCCTCTGCGCTACGTAACCTTGTAGCTGCAGGGTCCCGGCCCCCTAACGTTCCCTGCAGCTTTCCTTCGGGCATCCTCGTCCCCGACCTCAGGCCATAGCACTGGGCCCCCAGGCCGAGAGGTGCTGGGTTGGTGACGCAGGAGAGGTGTGGGCAACGAGGGAATGTGGCCACATCTGCTCCTGGAGGTTAAGGAAATGGGGAGGGGTGTGGGGGGGTATTTGTTTAGACTGAATCCTAGAAAGCCAGATGTTCTCCCCCTTCACCCTTCCTTCCTTCCTGGCCCTTTGTGGCTTGTTAGCTGGAGCCTCTTGCCGGGGGCAGAAATTGTCGCTTGTCTGGGATCTGATGGGTCTTTGGAGGAAAGAGTTTCGTTCCCCAGGCTAAGGCAGTTCCTCTCCCACTGTCCTTCCCATACGAGCAAAGATGCAGAGAAACCTGGGAGCTGATCCTGGGGGGGGGAACCCCAGGGGGACCTGGGAGCTGAGCCTGGGAGGGGGAATCTCAGGGGGCCTGGGAGCTGATCCTGGGGGTGGGGAACCCCAGGGGGACCTGGGAGCTGAGCCTGGGGGGAATCTCAGAGGGGCCTGGGAGCTGATCCTGGGCGGAATCTCAGAGGGGCCTGAGAGCTGATCCTGGGGTGGGGGAACCCCAGGGGGACCTGGGAGGGACGACCCCAAGGGGCCCCAGGAGCTGATACTGGGGTGGGGGGAACCCCTAAGGGAGCTGATCCTGGGGGGGAACCCCAGGGGGGCCTGAGAGCTGATCCTGGGGCAGGGGGAACTCCAAGGGGATCTGGGAGCTGATCCTGGGGAGAATCTCAGAGGGGCCTGGGAGCTGAGCCTGGGTGGGGATGGGGGAATCCCAGCTCCCACCTGCAGATCCCAGTCTGGGAAGAACTTGTCTTGTTCACTTCCACACATGATTGGGCCCTTGACCCCTGCCCGGACTCAACGCTGCCAGCCCTGCTTGCGCCGTTAGACACGCCCTGCCAGAGCTGTGACTACAGCCCAGGAGTCCTGGCTCCCCACCCCCATCCAGCTCTAACCCCTAGGCCGCGCTGCCTGTCGTGCTCTCTCCTTGCCCTTGTGAGAAGCGCTGATTTGGCTGCTCACTCTCCTTTCGAAGGTCGCCCGTTTATTGCAGCCCAGCCTTTAAACACGGTGCACGTCCCTGAGGACACGCCTGGGCAGCGCTCAGACCCTAGTGACGAGGGCAGGACAAGACTCCAAACAGAACAAAGGAGGCGCCTGCTACCGACGAGTCTTTTCCTCCAGCGACTGTGTTAATTTCCCCACGACTGGGTTTGTTGGTGCTGTTCAGTTCCCTGATGCGGAGACGGCTGCTTTTCTGCATCACGCCATACAGCGGAGGGGATGCCAACTGCCATATGCCCTGGCCTAGCAGCGCCCTGGAGAGCTTGTCACTCTGCATTAGGCTTTTCCGCATCAGACGCTCATGCTGAGAGGCAGGGACGCACTGGAGGGGAGAGGGGTGATTGCTCTGGTGGCCCTCGGGTGATTTCACCCTGGGCAGAAGCCCAGCACAACACCACGGTACCACTACACCCATAGCTGGCAATCCCAGAATCCTTTGCTTCCTTGGCATGGGTGTAAGTGGGAAAGCAAGTGGTGCCAAGACTGCCCGCCAGCCCCTTGCCCGGAGAGGTGAATTTCCCAGGCTTAAGCGGGGCCCAGCACTTATGCTGGTGTGAAATTTCACATGAACAAGCAACCCCGCTCCCGCACCCCATCCCCAAGTGCCTGTGACCCCACTCGCCTGACCCCACTGCCAACCAGATGTGACCTGGCGCCAAGCAATGGACCAGAACACGTTTGAGATGTGCCAGGCGAAACCCTGCGTGGCAAGAGCTGCCCAGTTAATCATTGACGAGGGTGAAACTAAATCATATCATAAGCAAACATTTTTCGAGCACTCAGTGGACAAAGGGGAAGAGAACAGAAACCCTTCGTGTTGCTGGCTCCAGGCTCGCGGCCTATCTGATCCGATCCCGTTTTATTTATCTTTGGATACATTCGAGATAGCTTGGACCAGCCCTGCTCTCAACACCCTGTTACTCATATCTGAGCAACAAGGAGACCCAAAAGCAAATGGAAAAAACACGGCATTTAAAACAGATGCAAGGAAATACGTCCCTCCTCCACTAATATATAAAATTAACCCGTGGAACTCATTGCTACATGATATTATTTATTTAAATCGTGGCAGTAGGTCGGAGCCCCAGCCACGGACCAGGATCCCATTGTGCCAGGCGCTGTACAAACACTGAACAAAAACAACAATACCTAGCTCTTACATAGCACATTTCATAACATGCAGCAAGGCGCTCACACCACTCTGCCACATTCCCTGCCAGGCCACTGCACTTGCCCATGTCCATCTTTTGCTCCAGAACTTGACCTGACCCTGACTTTTATAGTTGCCTAGATCGCCTTAAAAAGTGAAGCAGACAAATCCAGCCACATCTGCCCACAGCCTGAAAGAGCAGATCGGAGAGATTTCTGAGCTTGCCCTATTGACCACAATGGGGTGTTAACTCTGAAGCCTACAGATGGTGATGCCTACATGTCAACATTGTTAACCATTTATAGATTCATACGTCCTAAGGCCAGAAGGGAATAATTGCGATCATCTAGTCTGACCTCCTGTATAACACATGCCAGAGAGCTTCCCAAAGTAACTCCTACAGCACGTCTCTTAGAACAAATCTAAATCTTGATTTTAAAATGGTCAGTGATGGAGAATCCTCCACGCCCCTTAGTAAATTGTTCCAACAGTTCATTACCCTCACGATTAAAATATTACACCTTACTTCCAGTCTGAATTTGTCTAGCTTCAATGTCCACCATTGGATCATGTTAGCCCTGTCTCTGCTAGATTGAAGAGCCACTTATTAAAGATTTGTTCCCCGTGTAGATTCAAGTCACTCCTGACCCTTCTCTTTCTTGAGCTAAATAAATGGAGCTCTTTGAGTCTCTCGCTCTAAGGCAGGTTTTCTAAGCCTTTAATCATTCTCGTGGCTCTTCTCTGACCCCTCTCCAATTTACCAACATCAACATTTCTCTGCTGCTAAAAGGAAGATGAGGACGGATCATGCTGCGAAGATCTGCGCAACCTACGGGGAGTGACAGCTCTCAATTTTGGTGCCATGAGTGGACGGGGCTTAGGAGAATCCCTCCCCTTGTTCGTTTCCCAGTCTGGCTCCTGAGGGTACCTCTGGCACCTAGACACCACGGTGATGGGCTGGTTAATAATGCCCTGATTTAGCCCGAGCAGGTTGGAGCCTCAAAGTCCCTATCACTCATCTACTCCACCCGCAGCCGGCGCCATCCTAGACTCACCCACTCCTCCACGTTGGGGCCCTCCTGGAAGGCGAGTGGCTTGTCCCAGTAGATATTGGGCTTCCCAAACTTCCAGATCTTGTGGCGCGTCTTGTGAGCAAAGAAGCAAATCACGCAGAGAAGAATGACAATGAAGAACCCACAGACAATGGCGATGGCCTAGAAGAGAGGGGGAAAAAAACACGTTGGCCAGAGAGTCAGGGAAATTACCCTTATTCCATCCATCAGCTTGGTTCAAACCCAGCGCCCTTTGCACTGCAGCACTGACCTCTACCGCTCAAGCTAAAGGAAGAAATCCATCAGCTGGTAGCAGCAGTAGGTTGTCATCCTCTATGTGGATTAGCCACTAGCAGGAGATGAGACACCCCCCGCCCGCCGGCACAGTTGGAGAAGTCATTCCAGTCCATGTGAAGGTGCCAAAGGGGGCAGGAAATGAAATGAAAGGGAAAATAATTGTTACATCAAACAAAAGAGTGCCCCCAAGGAGGAGAGAGTGAGACGGATGAGGAATTTCCTGGAATTGGGATGTAGGGGGAGGAAGAGACGAAAAGGCAGCTTCTCGGGTTTGCGAGGGCTTTTAGAAATGGCTCCTTCACCAGAGCTGCCGAGCGACAGAGGACAAACCCGGCAGCATTCAAAGGGGGAACGGTAGGATATTGGCTGTGCTGGCAACAAATAGAACCAGCGTCCCCAGCTCTCCCTGGCACAAAGCAGAATCACATGGGAGGCTGCCGCTGCTCTGTGCATTGCTATTATCTCACCCTGTGTGGAAGTTAGCAAAACAATCGAGCCTGCAAAGCTTTCTGGGGTTTGATTCTCCAGGCGTGGGCTCAGCTCACGAACCAAAAATACACGAGGCGATGCCAAAGCACTTTGCAAGCTACGGGGATCCAATGCCCTCATATTTTACAGTCTGGGAGATTGAGGCACACGGCGAGAGAGAAAGCGACTTTCTCAAGGCCCCACAGAGCCAGGAAAAGAGCCCAGGAGTCCTGACTCCCCGCTGCATGCTGAAACAATCAACAAGCTTCTAAGGACACATGACTGAGAGCAGCAGAAACAGGGGCTGCTTATTCTCTGTATGATTTTCGCTCAAGAGGAAGGGGTTCAAATCCTCGCAGTTTGGTGTGTGTGAGAGAGGGTGATTCCCTAGAATTTCCCACAGGGCCCTGGTAAGAATGTTGAAGTAGACAGAAATTAGACATGGGGGGAATGACAGATTAGGGCCCATCTGGTCCATGCATCAGGCAGGTGCAGCACAGCTCCTTGCTTGTTTTTGGTAGGCAATCGATAACAAAGTACATAGCTCTACATGACTCTGGATTTCAGGTGGCTGGAATGCAGCAGACTGGGCTAATCTTATCCTGAGACGGGGTGGTATCGGCAGCCCCACCCAGCTCGCTGCTTAAATCGCTGCAATTGTTTCTGTCCAGACCGAAACTGGCTTCCCCGAGACCTTGTTTGTTAATATTCTGCTGCCGTCTATCCGACAGACAGCCTAGAGCGCTGACTCCGGAGCCGGGGCCAGCAAGCAGAGCCTGGTTAGCTGCACAGTATCGGTAAGAGAACAGGAGTCTTTGTGGCACCTTAGAGACTAACAAATTTATTCGAGCATAAGCTTTCGTGGGCTACAGCCCACTTCTTCGGATGCATAGAAGGGAACGTATAGTAAGAAGATCTATATACATACAGAGACCATGAAAAGGTGGAAGTTGCCCTACCAACTCTAAGGCTAGGTCTACACTACCCGCCTGAATCGGCGGGTAGAAATCGACCTCTCGGGGATCGATTTATCGCGTCCCGTCGGGACGCGACAATCAATCCCCGAATCGACCAGCGGAGGTGGGAGTAAGCGCCGTCGACAGGAAGCCGCAGAGGTCGATTTTGCCGCCGTCCTCACGGCGGGGTAAGTCGGCTGCGATACGTCGAATTCAGCTACGCTATTCACGTAGCTGAATTTGCGTATCTTAAATCGACTCCCCCCTGTAGTGTAGATGTAGCCTAAGAGGCTAATTAATTAAGATGAGCTATTATCTAGGGTTACCATATTTAAAAAATAAAAAAAAAGGACACTCCACGGGGCCCTGGCCCCGCCCCGTTTCCCACCCCGCCCCAACTCCGCCCTTTCCCCGCCCCTTCCCCCAAAGTCCCCGCCCTAACCCCGCCCCCTCCCCTGAGCGCCCCGCATTCTCCCTCCTCCCTCCAAGCCACGTGAAAAGGGCTGCCCGAGCACTACCGGCTTCACGGTTTGCCGGGCAGCCCCCAGACCCCGCGCCCCCGGCCGGCGCTTCCCCAGCACAGCTGGAGCCCGGGAGGGGAAGCGCCCAGCCAGGGGCGCAGGGTCTGGAGGCTGCCCAGCAAACCGTGAAGCCGGTAGCGCTCAGGCTTTGGGCAGCCCCCTTGCCTCCAGACCCTGCACCCCCGGAGCCTGGGAGGGGAAGTGCCCGGCTGGGGACGCAGGGTCCAGAGGCATGGGGGTCGCCCGAAGCCGGTAGCGCTCGGGCAGCTCGGCGCTTACAGAGCCCAGGAGTCAGGGAGCACAGCAGCCCCCGGCGCCCGCTCTAAGGTAAGCCAGGGAGTATTTTTCCCGGACATGTTCGGCTTTTTGGAAATTCCCCCAGACAGGGGTTTGATTACCAAAAAGCCGGACATGTCCGGGAAAAACCGGCCGTATGGTAACCCTACTATTATCAGCAGGAGAAAAAAAACTTTTGTAGTGATAATCAAGATGGCCCATTCCAGACAGGTGACAAGAAGGTGTGAGGATACTTAACATGGGGAAATAGATTCAATTTGTGTAATGACCCAGCCACTCCCAGTCTCTGTTCAAGCCCAAATTAATGGTATCTAGTTTGCAAATTAATTCTAGTCCAGCAAGGAAACCGACCAAGCCCAGCAGAGTAACTGAGCAGCAAATGAAGGCGATTTGTATAAAGCGGTTTTGCTCCGGGTTACATCCTGGGGGCTAGACTGGACAAAGCACGTGGCTGGTGGGCTTGTGGTTAAAGCACTGGGCTAGGACTCAGGAGACCGGAGTTTATTTCTGAGCTGGACGAGGTGCTTCTGAGCTTAGAAGAAGGAAGGCCCAGTGATTAGGGCACTAGCCTACAGGCGCGGCGCCAGGGTTTTTGCCGCTCTAGGCAGCAGCGCTCTTCCTCCGAGCATTCGGCAGCGGGGGTCCTTCCGCTCCGCGTCTTCGGGGCACTTTGGCGGCAGGTCCCGGAGCGAGTGAAGGACCCGCTGCCAAATTTCCACCAAAGACCCGGAGCGGAAGGACCCCCCGCCGCCAAATTTTTGCCGAGGACGGAAAAATGCTGCCCCCCAAATCCTGCCGCCCTAGGCGACCGCCTAGGGTCGCCTAGTGGAAGCGCTGGCCCTGCTAGCCTAGGACTTGGAAGACTTGGATTCAGCTCCCAGCTCTGCCACAGGGTCCCTGTGTGACCCTTGGCGAAGTCGTTCAGCTGCTCCGTGCCTCAGTTTCCCCTCCGTTCAATGGCGATGACAGCCAGGCCTTGCCTCCCAGGAGTGCGTGAGGATAAATCCATTAAATACTGGGAGGTGCTCAGAGATGACAGTAGTGCGGGCTATACACGTATTTATGACAAATAGCTGGGCTACAGCCTCCCTCTGTTCGTCTGTTCAGTTTCCCCCTTTGTAAAATGGGGTGAATGAGACTTCCTTGGTTTATTCAGACTGGGAGCTTTGGGGCAGGGCCTGTCTCTCACTGTGTGTCTGTGCAGCGCCTGGCACAAAGGGTCCCTGACCTCAGCTGGGATGAATAGGTGCTAGTGGGCTGCCCACAACTCACCCCAACACTGGTCTAAGGGCAGCCTGCAGTGGACTCATCTCTCTTGGCAAACGTAGGCTGCTAGATGCTGCTATCGGCAAGCCCCGCGTAGCTCGGCAGAAACCTCGCTGCAGACAATGGGGATACAGCCGGCACAAAGACATTACAGCCAATCTTCTCCATCGGCTTTCTCCCAGGACTTAGAGACCGTGACCACCCGACCCACTGGGGAACTGACTAAGGCCAAACTCAACGTTCAGCGACTGTCGGTGGCGCTCGGTTCGTAGCTGTAGAGTTTTAGACGGCACGAATCGTTGCACCAGGACGGCTCAAGGAGGGGAGAGGGGTGCAGAGCTCTGAGCTGCTCAAAACAGAGAGTTTGGAGAATCCCAGAAAATGGGGAGAGATGGAAAAGAGCCAGGAGATTGTCTAGTCCAGGGTTTACCAAACTTTCCCATAGTGGAGACCACAGCTTAAAAGAGGGATTGTCTTGTGGGCCACCTTGGCCTCCCCTCCCCCACCTCCCTTCCCTTTCGTGATCCTAGAACACCCCTGTCAACTAAAGCGATTGGCTGAATGGAAAAATAACCACATGCTCTTCCTTCAGCCCCCTCTCCCACCAGCTCTGACTCTCCTTCAGATGCAAAACCCAGGATGAACGTGTCAGCAGCCAGCTCCCCCCTGGGCCAGAGGCCGGTTTGCAAACCTCTGGGCTAGCCCATCCACCCGCCAAAGCAGGATTTTTCTCATACTTTGTCCAACCTGGGTTTAGAAGACCCAACTAGCTGGGTCTCCACCGTTCCCCTGTGAGATTGCTCCACAGCTTCGTCCACCAGGAAGCACCTCCTGGTATTGAGCCTTGAATTTCCCCTGTCCTCAGCTCTGTCCTCCTAGCCCTGGTTACACCCTGTGTAGACCCAAGAGCAGCTGACGCTAGTCACCAGGAATTGCCCTTCGCTGAGGCAAGCTGGAGACGTGCGCCAATGGCTAGTGGAAAAGGAAACGCAGCAGTTGCAGCTGATGGCTATGGAGGTACTGGGGAGAAAACGCGAGTTAATGGGGAAAAATAGACAGCCTGGCTGGGAGATGCCAACATTTCTGAGCAAACTTTCAAATTTGAACAAAAAAACCAAAGGGGGGTTTCCATTAATATTCTGAGCAAAATTTCATCCTGTGAAATCGAGCGAGCGAGACGGTAGGAAATTTTCAACCATCTTTGTTGATCATTTCACGTTTTAAACCAACAAACAAACAAACGCGGACTAGATTGGCATTAACATTTCCCCCAAAACAGTCATCCCATTTTCTGAGCAGCTTCAAGAGAAAGTCAACGAAAGACGAAGACAAAATGGAAGGAGAGAGAAAAGAAGGAGAGAAAGCTGAAGGAAGAAAGAAGGAGAAAGAGAGAAAAGAAGGAGAGAAAGCTGAAGGAAGAAAGAAGGAGAAAGAGAGAAAAGAAGGAGAGAAAGCTGAAGGAAGAAGGAAGGAGAAAGAGAGAAAAGAAGGCGAGCTGAAGGGAAAAGGCAAGCGGTGCCCATCTTACCTCCTGCGGGTCCACGGTGCAGTAATGGTAGAGGTACTGGTTCATGTAGGCTCCGCCGGAGGAGTACATCTGGTTGCACATGGTCAGCATGGGGCTGTAGTAGTAGCTGCCGGTCATTTGTGCCCGGGGGTTGACGCCCATGATGTAGACGATGGAGGCGATGAGCATGACGAAGGCCAGGATGGCGCACACCACGATGACCGCCAGGTAAAACCTGCGGGAGCGGGCGCTGCTGGACTTGGTGACGCTGGCCACGAAGAACCCCAGCAGCGCGATGAAGCACAAGACCGACATGGCGATCATGAAGCCACTGGCTGCCCGCGGGTTGGTCATCCCGCCATAGTAGCCTCCATAGCCACCGTATCCGCCATAGCCCCCGTAGCCCCCATAGCCCATCCCTCCACCATAATAGCCAGACCCGTAGTAGCTCCCTAGCCCGCTCCCATACATCCCCCCATAGCCGTAGCTATATTCCCAGGCCAGCGTGGAGGCTACGCAGGCGAAGATGGTGACGCAGAGCAGGACGACCAGGGCCTCCAGGATCCTCACCACGCCGGGCGGAGAGTTCCACTTGTAAAAATACTGCGGCACGTCCTCAACGTAGAAGGAGCCTGGGGGGGGCGAGTGGATGTCGTAGCCATAGCCGTCGCCGGGGGGGCCGTAGCCAGTGGGCGGGCTGGTGTAGGGCTTCTGGCTGTACATGGCGGAGGAAGGATCCAACGCAGGGCAGGCGCCCGGAGACCACACACAGCCTTAGAAACACCTAGGTAGAGCGGCAGATAAACAAGCGGATCAAGCAGGGTGGCCTGGAGGTGGGGCAAGCACAGGGGCAGGGGGTTCGAATGCTGGCTCTGCCGCTGAGGCCTTGCGCTAGTCACTTACAAACTCCCCGAGCAAAGGGCGTGAGGGCCACACGCGTTTCCCTCTGCTGCCGTCCGGCCTTGGGAGACGGCTGCTGCGGAACCGGCCGGCTGGGCAGCCGATGCAGGGAGCTGTGAATATTCAGAGAACTTGCCCCAGTTCTGACTGGACTTTTCGCTGCCCTGCGCCGTTTGCTCCAGCTCTGAGCTTCGTTCCTCACCTGCCCTGCCCCCTTTGCTTTCCAATGAGCTGATCTCCTCCAAACTACCCCACTGCCACCCCCCAGAAAGAGTGGCATCTGCTTGCTGCCACCTCTGCTTGTGGGTTATAGCCCTCCGCCGTGGGTCACAGACCTTGGGCCTGTCTCGTCTTAGTTAGACTGTAAGCTCTGACCACCCCCTGCTTCGTATCTGGCTGGCTTTCAGGCACTACTATATAACCACGGTTACTAATAAATCAACGAGAATTAGGGGCCTAAGCCCCTTTGAAAATCCCAGAGTTCCCGTCTATAAAATAGGGGGGATTTTATATAGATAGGTATGTATATTAGATAGATAGATAGATAGATAGATAGATAGATAGAGGGGGTGTATGGGGATAGATAGATAGAAAGAAAGAAATCTATATTGTAATTGCATCTACATAGATGGTCAAGTCAAGCATGTTAGTCACTGGGTACGTCTACACTGAACCCCCCCCCCCCAGCAGCGAGAGAGCCTGGGTCTACAGACTCCGGTTTGCGTTACGGGGCTGAAAGCAGCAGTGTAGATGTTCCCTCTTGGGCACCACGACCTAGCAATAGGGTGTCTCAACCATTCACGAGCTGGGGGAAGGGCTTTGGGCGAGGCCAGGCAGGAACTAGGCAGGGGATGGGTGCAGCCTGCAAGGATGTGGCCATCTTCTAACTGGCCCCAGCGGCAAAAGGAGGCATCAGGTAGACCCCATTTTAAGTCCTGAGCAGCGCAACTGATCTCTCCAGCTCAGAAACGACCCACGGTGGGGTGGGAAGTCAAAACCAGGGGGCTGGGCTTGTTCATGCCACCTGGAGGTTCTTTAGGAGGACTGTCCAAACGGGACCAGAATCATCTCCCTGATCTAATCCTCCTTCCGGTCCCAGCCAGCCTCCTCCCTGAGCACCATCTGCCCATGCCGGGGCGAGACAGAAACCCCATTCACCTCTATGGACTCATCGACACACAACTAGCAAAGGCTGCAGGGGTCGCACAGCCCCCATCCCCCAGGCTGTGCTCAGCCCTGACACTGGGGGTGCAATTCCCATTGACTTTGGCCCTCCGCCTTGCAAAGGATTCTCCTAGCTGACCTTTAGGGACCCTTGGTAACGTTTTTTTTTTTAAGACACATAAATGACTTAGGAGCCGAAGTCCCATTTTCAGAAGTCTCCAAAGTGCTGGGAATTGAGGGGCCCGGTTGATTTTCCAGGCGGCTTGGGCTCCTACGTCACATGGGGTCTGAGTTAAGTGGGGTGAGCAACCCCAAGGTTAGCCTAGCCCT